GGGACGGTGGGTATTTTTGTCCTTGTTTTCTTCTCCGTTATATGTTTGCCGATGAATTTCATGGGGTACCCATTCAGACTGAGTAGGCTCCGAATATTGTTCAATTCTTCTTCAATGGTGTCTTCAAAGCAGATCATTCTAGCACGATGTGTCAAGATCTTTATCAAGTTCCTTTTGTATCTGATTGGAACTGCACTGTGGAAATGAGTGTATTGACCTGCTGCTGACTTTCTGTGTACCCTTATTTTATAGTTTCGTCTGTTCTTCTAGTTAGTTGAACGTCTAGAAAAGATATGCTATTATTCTGTTCATTTTCTGATTTAAAGTTAATTGACGGATGAACGTTATTAAATATATTAAGTAAATTGTGCTTATCATTTTCTTTCTCTAATACTATGAAGGTATTATCTATATAGCGATAATAAGTTGGTAAATGGGTAATTGTACTTTTAAGTGGTCCATTTTCCAGTTTTGCAAGGAAAATATTAGCCAGTAGAGGGCCCAATGGTGATCCCATGGCGACTCCATCTAGTTGTCTATAGCATTCATTGTCAAATCTGAATTGGACATTCATAGTGCATCTAAGAATTAACTGTTTTATCGCGGATGCGAGAATCGGGGTTTCTATGCGTCTCGCTGTTAGTTCATTGCAAATAAAATCAACCGTTTCGAGTAGTGGAATATTAGTGAATAATGATGATACGTCAAGTGATATCATGAATTTATTCTCGACTGATAGATTTTTTTATGTTCTCAACAAATTCAAAGGAATCTTTGGCACTATGTCTGACAATTTCTTTGTGTAATGGTTGAAGAATTTGCGCCAACCATTTTGCTAAATTATGATAAGCTGAGTTATTCATATCTAATACTGGTCGAAGGGGCGAGCCACTTTTGTGTATTTTTGGTAGGCCATATAGTCTTGGTGTAATTGTTCCTGTAGGTTTCAATATTTCGAACACCTTTTCTGAAATAAAACCTTGTTGTTTAGTTTCTTTCAGTGAATCAGTTAGTTGTTTTTTAATCTTGTCTGCCATGTCGTTTTTCACAGCCAGTTTCTGAAATTTGCTTTTATCATTTAGAAGGGCTTTCATTTTGTTTATGTAGTCATTTTTATCCATGAGTACTATCCCAAATCCTTTGTCAGATTTGGTGATTAACTGCACTTGGTTAATAGAAATTTAGAGTTCAAGTGCATCATCTTCTAAATATTGTTGCATAATACTTGAACAAACCATACCAATAAATTCAGACCTATTACAATCAGAGATTTTCAACAGTTATTATCACACGATTAATTTAACATAAACATATTCCATCATAGTTATATGATGAAAGATTCATTCTACATGCCTCGAGAGAAAAACATTTCGGGCAACAAATGTATCTTATGGGAAGAAATATTTGCCTTGGATTAAACCAAGAATTTTTGTTTTTACATCTTACAGACTGTGTACATATTCCATTAGAAAAAAAATAACAAAAAGTCCGTAAAGTTAGTATAGTAAAAAATAAATTTTCCAAATGTTATTAACATCCAAATATGTCTTTTCATAACATATGATTTGTATCAAATAAGCTTAAGTTCCATAAATTATTTAACAGGATCCATTTCATCATATATTTCTAAGTGGAAAAGAAAATCACTTAAAACCTATATATTATAGAGTATATATATGCCATCAAGTTATAAATAAACTGGGAAACGGTACCATAGTAAACAACCAATTTTATGTGGTGATATCAACCTTCATCTTGTTATGTTGTCGAAAGTATTTGAGTAAAGTACCTGAACACAAGGTTTTCGACGCTTTCCTGTAGTCATTGTCATAGCCACTAAACTTATCCAATTCTGTAGTCAAGTACTTAGCTTACTTGGAGACGGATGACATGATGCCTATATCCATATATATCCTACGACTTTAACTGAACTTAATGTTACAGAACTCGAAATGGAGAATTTGTGATCATTTAATTTGTGGTCATTTAATTTGTGGTCATTTAATTTGTGGTCATTTAATTAGACAAGTAAGCCATAATGACTTCGGAAATACTCGTATAAACTAAAAACATAGGACGTTACTTAAAGGCATACTGCTCTCAGGCACCAATTACCTACGATCAGATAATTTACATCATACTGTCGAGATACTAAGCTGAGTAACAATAGTCGAAAGGTGATCACGAGGCAATATAAAAATGATTATCACCCAGTAGTCCGAGGTTTATGTCTTTTTTTACATTATTAGACTGAATTCAAATTTTATCCTAAAAAAGTGTGATGACTCAGCGCTAGCTGAGTAATTCGAAATATCAACGCAATAGTAATACAAAGCTTAACGCAATTAGTGAACTCACACAAATATTTTTTAAATGAACTTACACTATGACCCAAATAACTTTTGACCCAGCACCCAAGAAGATAAGAAGAAGACAAAAGAAAACAAAAGGTTTATTCCCCACTCCAACTGAGGATGGTACAGGGAAAAATGCTTGGGTGTTTATACATTTTCGGTGTATCGTTGTGAAATCAGTCTTGTGGTGCTTGATTCAATGGTGCGGGCGCGGGTTAAAAAATTCCGTTTGGTTGATTCTGATTAAAATATTTTTGGAAACATTACAACTTAAAATATTGAAATTTCCCATGATGTAAATAAGAACAAAACATGAAATTAAACAGTACTGTCTTCAATTAGATCCTCATCAGATTATGTTGTAAAAGATCAAACAAAGATAATACGTAGCCCTATTTTATTACACTCGGTAGACAATGGTCATATAGTAGATAAAAGTGAATCATTTCGCGCAATTTACGGTAAACTATTATTTTTCAAGGAAGATAAATCTCATCTCCTACATACTGTGTGTATTGCCTTGATATAGTCTTAATTAAATAAACAATGACAAATGAATTTAAACTTTACCCCATCACACAAGCAAGTGGCTATCAGGACTCAGTAGCTAAGTAGATAACGCGATAGCGTTTGAAGCGAACAGTACTGTGTTGGAGTCCCAGAGTGAACATCAACTGTGAAATGCAGGTTAATTCAGCTGACGAGTCTCAAATGGGACGAGACGCGCGCCCTAGATTTCATTGCTAGTCATTATCCATCTTTGCATATGGTACTTGGGAATTATGGCTATATTGAGGCAATACGCACATGTGCCAATAAGAGACTGATCAATAGCAGTCCTAAACATCAATAGAAAGATTCAAACAAACCATAACAAAAGAATTTTACTGAATTTTCACATTCTTTGATTGTTTATTGTCACCCACTTTCGTATATGCTCATAATTATATGAATAAACCCTTTTTACTCAGTAACTTTAGTATTTTTCTAGTGATTGTAACTTGAATGGTTATCTTTTTAAGTTCTAACCAACTAGGAAGTTGTTCGAACGCCTATACAGGTTGTTATTATTCTGATCACTACTAGTATACCAAGCAATTAATACATTTTTACTTATTAAGTTTAATTATGTAATCTAGTTTAAAGTCATAATGGACCCATAAACTCCATTGATTGGTTTAGTAATTTTCATCCATGCATATAAATATTAATTCAATAGCTGAGATCTCGAGTCAATTAAAGCTAGACCACTATGGAAAACCTGGGAGCACTAGATGGCCGTTTCGTCCTGTTGTGGGACTCTCCAACAACGCGCACCCACGATCTCACCTCGCGGGATTCGAACCCAGGACATATCAGCCTCGCGCGCGAGCGTTTAATCACTAGACCATTGAGTCGACATCCAACGGTGTTAATGTCTAACTTCAAATAATCCACGAAGCTGAGCGACACATCCCCCATTGTTATCAGTGAGTTATTATCTCACAACTGACCCGGTTGAACTCCACTGGTCACTGCTTCTCACTAGAACTCAAGGATATACATTTTGAAGCCAGTCACTAGTGAGCATATGTTGATTTTTATCAGAAGGGGTTTTGTGGAGATTTTAGTAATTTCAATAGTTGAGATCATGAGTCAATTGAGGCTAGAACACCGTGGAAAACCTGGGTTCGAATCCCGCGAGGCGGGGTCAAGGATGCGCACTGCTGAGGAGTCCCACAATAGAACGAAACGGCCGTCTAATGCTTCCAGGCTTCCCATGGTGGTCTAGCTTTAATTGACTCATCATCTCAACAATTGAAATTACTAAAATCTCCACAAAACCCCTTGTGATATAAATATTACTTTATATTGAAGTATCGATGAACATGTGAATCATATAAGCTACGTGTAGCATTATATTCGTATATTTAATGAATTTATAATTTTAATGTGCAGTTAGTTGTGAGTGACATATCTGTAACGCAAGGTGAAACTGATTCCACTCATAAACGGAGGTTACTTCTAATGTGGTTCATATTTATAAATATGCAGATTTAGCGTTAAAATAATTGAATAATTGAGAATGCACGATACTTTCACCGTAAAATGTACATAAGTTGGCGTTTTTATCTGAAATAACATGAAATTAATGGTTTAAAACCACTAAACCTAAGAGAGTACAATACGCATCATGTTTCCTCCAAAATGGGATCTAAGAACTCATTTCTTTCCAAGAATTATAGATTCTACAAGACAGTCAGGCATCTATAAACAGACCTATTATCATGAATAAACAATTTCCACTCAAAGTCCAAAGTAAAGGATAACCCTTAAAAAGCAATCTAAACTAAGCAGTCGAAAAAGCCAAGACGTTAAACAGGTAAAAACCTCAAGTATTAAAATATACTGAGCAGTAAATTGAAATAATAGAATAAAACTTGCCAATGATACCATCTAACATTTTGACTAAGCATCTGCGGTGGCGAAATTATAAAATATTTATATCTTTACCCTAAGAGCTCTTTTAATTTTAAGCTTATTGGTTTCCTTATCATGACAGAAATTTGTTGGTCAAACATATAAATATTTTAAAAAATCTACTAACTCCAAAATGATATACGATAATAATATTGAACAAGAGTTGACAATAAAATACAAACTTACACGACGTATATCATCCAAAGTATGAATTTCCGGAGAAAGACCACCATGAACGCACAAAAACTGTTGATTCATCAAAGCAGCCAACGGTAAACAATCGAATGCTTCCATACAGGCTTCATAAACTTCTTCTGTATATTTTATCTTACCTAGAAATAATTTAGAAAAATATATATAAGAATTAAATAAAACGTAACATATATATTATAAGACATACTGTAAGATATAATGGAGTAACCTAAGGTAAAAACTATGATATTCTACAAATAACTAACGTGTTTAAAGAATATTTAACATTGTCAACAGTCGATTTTCATTTCGTACACAATACAATCAGGTAAAATATTCCGGAACCACTATCTACTGCTATATTGAATATTTTTAAAAGTGACTTTCAAATTATTATCTTTAGTATGTGAACAGACCAAAGCACGGTTGTACAATAAATACGCTCATTAACATTGTAAAATCATTATAAACCAATGGCAATAAATATTGGTAAACAATTAATTATTTAGTACCTGTAAACTTTAATTGGTGACAATTCACACATCAGAAATTGTAACTAAAACTAAAGATTTTAACTTTTCAGATAAAATATGTATATTGTAATTCAAAATGAATTCATTAGGGATACATATAAGGCAGTGAAAATACAATATGATAATTATAAGAAATTGGAGGTTGTTGAATTTATAGAATATATGGGTCAAATGTTCAGTAAATAAAAATTAGTGTTATCTTAATGATTTTATTAGCGTTAATTATACTTTATTGATTATATATGTATATATTCTCCATAAAACGCTACATTGACACTTTTCATGCACTCGCTAGTGACTAATTTCGAGAGGCGATTCTAGGAGTTTTAGTGAAAAGCCGTGATAGATAGATCTTAACAATGTTGGATGAGAGATAGTCATAAATAGGATTACATGGTCGAGTAATACCACTAAATGACTGAAGTCACAAATGTGACTAAATATTGAGAGAATACGACGAAACCTGGAGGTTCTAGGTTCAATCGTTTGTGAGGTCGTAGATGCGCACTCTTGTTGAGTGTGATACTGAAACAAAACAGCTATTTATTAATTACTGACTTACAATGAATAAAAAACTAAGGTCAGTCCGAGATGTAAACTTTAAAATATCCTTACATAATGAATAATTATAGATATGTTAGAAAATCTTGACTTTCACTTCGCGCTTTTATTCACTTACCAACAGAGTTTCACTTTAGAAGACATAATTGAGACAATAAATCAGACAAATTAAAAATTCCTTCTAAACCGAAATTCAAAACACCTGACACAAAACAAACAATACATGCTTATAGTTAGGTTAAGGCAAATATATTTGGGAAATGAACAGATACGACAATAGTCATAATTAATTAAAACAAAGTTTTTGCTATTTTTATGACCTAAATTTTACTGCACCGCATTTCTGAATATGTCAAATGAAGAGAAATAGAGAGAAACAGAAAAGAAACTAAACACAAGAAGAAGAAGAAGAAGAATGCAACTTTTTATTTTTGTGAAAAATCAACTTTCAGATTACATCATTGATAAGATCCAGTAAAACAAAATTTCTAAAGTTCAGATCAGTTTTGAATAAAACAGTGTGGAGACATTAGAAAAAAAGTGAAGGATATTAAGATGAAGTTAGAAATATTTTTTTTTTACTTCTCAATTGAAGTATTCTAAATTTAATGAATTATTTGTTCGTTTATTTCCTTTGAAAACATTCAATATAAAAGTTAATTTAATTTTCTAAAAACACATTATCAATTCCCATTTGAACTATTTTGTATAATAATAATTGGTATCATTGCCAAAGTTTGATTTGATAATTTTAACTAAATTGAGCATTGGATAGAAAGTTAATAACAAAATAACTCATATAAATATTTAATAACATTATGTGAATTGTTTTGAAGTGGCCTCGGTATACCGCCTAGATATTTAGATAGGAGAGTACTTGTGAAATCCACTATGGGAGTTGGTGGGATGTCAGATTTGTCAGTTTTCAGCAGCTTATAAAAATGTAATGCAGTGTTGGACAATAGTATAATAAACATAATACGACCTAAAAAATCTTCTATGAATATTATTAAAAGTATAATTCTAATGAAATATCTTGGAATGCTATCAAGTTTTACCTTACTGGCAAGGTACACATCTGGAAAACATACAAAATTAAAGCTTTCCATGAAACAACCAACACACTTAGAAATGCTTTAGTTACAATTAACGATAAGATTGCGTAAACATTCATATAGAATCGTGTCTACAGACTAGGTTGTGTCGATTGTGATGCAATCTATTTTGGAAAGTCTTACCATGAAATCTCGACACGTGCCAAGGGACATTTAAGTTACACAAAACGATGTCATAAGCCTATAGAGTTGGAAAATCTACAAATCAAATCGCCCATACCAGTGCATAATATTTTCAATAACCACCAAATAGATATTTAAGAAATATGAAAACAATTCAGAAAGGTTTTTTCAACTATAAAAAGAGGAAAGTAGGTGAAGCGTTTCAGATGATGCTAGCCCCAATAGGAAAGAAGGCCAAGCTATTTATTTAACTTGAAGTGTTTATCCAAACAACCACATATAGCTGTTCACTTCCCACACAATCTACATACATTCAGATCTCAACTCTATTTATTTATCTGACAAATTTCACATTTTTCATACCCACCATCATAGTGGTGTCCCATACAGAATCAACTTGACTAAAAAGGATCCACATGACGTTGACATAATCAGACCCATTTTGATTGAAACAATTATTCCACCTTGTTTCTTTAATCTGCTTAAACTGGTATTAATTTCATTCGGTTATTTACTTATTTAATCTGAAGAAGTGAATTCCATCACGTCATGAAGCGTTAGAAATTCAAACTTCTACTCATTGGAATATCAAAAATATATCATTATTTCATTACAATGATAGTTGTGTTATTAAAAATGAATCAAAATCCGACAGTTGACTTTGAGTGGAACATAGATTGGTTTTTAGCATTTCATTGTCTCACACATAATGAACAAGTGAAGATGAAGTGCAAGTTTGAAAAACACAAAGGTCAGTCGATATATAATTAAAGCATTTTTGATTTTTGTAAGAACCGACCGAATTAATCTATCATACAATAGTAAATAAATTACAGAATGGTTATGAAGATACGTCGCGTATGAGGTAATCACCTATTGAGATGGATGTGAAACACCACAAATTTATCCAAGGTAGGAATGTAATCCATCGGTTGCCAACTCAGTGATTTTAATGTTAGGCATTCGCCGTGAGACCCAAAGGCGCAATATAGGACTTTCAACACAAAGTATTTTCAAAAGTTTCCGTTTCTTATTTTTTGATCGATCCTGACGATAAATATTGAGTGATCGCCAGTTAGATGTTAGTCGTTCAGGAATCAACATCTAAATAATGTCCATTCATTCCGATGCATATTTCCAGCCACTACGCTGCTGAAAGTACTTTTTTGTGACATGTAGAGCGAAAGGTCGTAAACTTAAGATAAACGCACCTGAAGAGGTGATGCGACTAATAAACATAATGATGTATTTAAACAAAAAAACAGATAACTTGTTGAAATACCTAGATGACGGAAACAGATAGCCCAGGTATACAAACAGGCCGCCATCATATTGCCTATAGCTTCTCAATTTTCAATGATTGCCTAAATAAGGTTAGTACGTAATGTAAACTACAAAATTCAGCGATCTACACAAAACATACAACTGTTATTAACCTGTCAGTCAATAAATATGATATCAGCAAAAACGAATAAATGCAATACTACGTTTGAAGTGAAAGATTTTTGCGATAAACTGATATTAGCTAAAGATTAATTAAAAATCATAGAATGATGCATATCTGCAACGTGGCAACTTTCTTAATTTTCAACAGTTTTTAGATGCTCAAGTTTATCCCATAAAGGAAATTACGATTATATATATATATATAACAACAGTTGTAATATGAGCCTGTTTTTACTAATAATAACAATATAAAACAATTCGAGTGAGAATAGTTTATTCTAATGTAAATCTGATTTGAACTGTATCGAATAAAAAATTACACAAATACAATCACTGTGGGAAATAGGTTAATAGTCAATGTTTAATGTTTAGGAGTCTAGGACAAGAACAAAACAATTGTCTGATGTTTTCTATTTTCCAACAGCAAACCATTCCTGATGAAAATAACTATCAAATATAATAGGAATCTTAGACTGAAAACTTTAATTTAATATTTAGCACAGTAAATCTAAACAAGCCGAAAGAAATATATGGTATTCATTGAAATACGACTAATAACAATAGTGTACAGAGAAAAACCTGAGAGTATCATGGGAAAATGTATAGTAAGCGTTACAACGAAAGCTCGATTGAAATTATCAATCACATAAATGAACCATTCATTTGAGACGATAGAAAATATTTATAGCTGAGAACGAGGATGTGTTATCTACTCTGAACAGGATAATTTTGGTGTGAAGCTTTCGTTGTACTTAAGGGAATCACCATGAATTTCCTTAATGCTGGTTGGTTAGTTTTCGGTCACATAGTATATAAACTTGATTTGTAATTGTCTTTATTCTACAAATATGTACATATATATGTGTGGATTTAAATAAATACCCAATATTAGTTTGTGTTTTCCTAATTAAACAAAAAATAAACTTTTTGATTCAATTTGTTGGATAAAGGTTTGCTTTGACATGGTAAGTATTAAACAATATTCTTTATTTACAATACAATATTGATAAGGACGAAAATCATCTACTTTAGAAGTCTGTTTACTATATTTTTACACATTATTCGAGGGATAAGCTTTACATAGTATAAACTACAATATTAGACCGATTTTGTCGATTATCATAAGCCAAAAATTGAAAAAAACTGATAACGCGCTGATGAATATAAATATAACGATTAAACTAGTCGATAATAAGTAACCTAAGCAGATGTTTGCAGAGAAAACGACAAAATAGGAATATACAAGACGAGCTATAATATTTTATGTATTTTTTTGTACGTCAAATATCCCTGTGGGCTACATTAACTACAATCATACATAAGAGATAGGCACATTCATCCTACACTTTTCGATTCATAAAATAATCAAATGTTCATTGCTCCAGGCAACTTTTACAAGCGTGATTCTGTTTAATATTCTGATATATGTATAGATATACGTAAGTACACTTTCAGTGTCATTTGCGTATAATAAAACAAATTGCAGTATAGTACAAACTTCTTTATTCTGTTCAGGATTTTAAAAATTATTTTATACTTTACATTTTCATTGTTGAACTTTTTACTATTCAACCGAAGATCTCGTAGACAATTACAGTGCGCACGGATGAAAAAGCAACAACGAAAGTAAATAAAAAAGCTGAACATGTACAAAATTCAGAAACATACCTACATACAAGAACATACGTGTATATCAACAATAATTTTGTTTTAAATTTTCCCCAAAACTACACTATTAAAATCTAAGTTGACAAACATATTAGACGATACAGTAATAGCACGACGGGTATCCAGCCTGTGTGCATAAGTGAAATCCTTCAGTAACAAGTAAAAAATAAACAAATGTAGGAAAACAACCGAAATGTCACAAACACATATACACATATGTGAATACGACTACTACTAGAAGATATACTATGAATTGTTTAAGAGTATAAAGTAATCTATAAATCAAAAATCACGGATTACATTTATGATAGAAAAGAACACTAATTTATTGTTTCACAATTCATTAAACGTAACAGTGATGTAAATAGCGGTATTCGCATTAGATTCATATTTAAATTCACGAATCCATATGAGCTGGACAACCATTGGAAACTAGGATGCACTGGAAGGTCAATTTGTCCTAGTATGGGACTCCTCAGCAGTGGGCATTCACGACCCCACTCGTGGGACTCAAACTCAAAGCC